TGTATTGTTTTCTGTAAATGAGTGAGTCACATCATTTTGAAGTAAAACCTCTACACTACAAGATCCAGGTCACAAAAGTCTTGTACACAAATGTCATGAATGTGTTTTGTGGTCTGATTTCAGTGACTTATTTTTTTGTTGTTTTCAATAATCACGCATAACTGTTTTTTTCTCCAATATAACGACTTGTACATACATGCTGCTCATATATTATTGTAGCCCAGTTACAATGTTATCAGACTTTATACATTTATATGTTTATAAGTAACTGAAAAATACACAAATGTCAGGACATGTCAGAATCTCTTCAGGGCTCCAAATCACCTTCAGACTCCTAAAGGTTAATAAACTTACAGTTTCCAGGCCTGTGCTGTTCACTAGCTCACCTGTACCATTCTATCGGCTGGTGCTGCTGCCCAACGGGGGCTTGTTTCGTTGACATCCTGTACACTGATTGCTATGTCCTCATGTGTGAGGGAGCCGATTCTTAATCACCTGGGCCTTCAATGCCTTGTCGAAAGTCCAGTCTGGCTCTGCTAACAGCTGCCTCTGTACGGTCGTCTCCAATTCCACACACCAGCCCTACACCTATCCCATAGCATCTATCCACACACCAGCCTATCCCATAGTATTTCTGATAATTTATCTCCATAGTTTCAATCTTGTGGCAGTTTCCTCAAAACAGCTACATACTCCATAACAGTTTCTCCATGCTTCCTGATTCTCAATTTGAATTTGAAGCGCTGCACAATTTCGCTGGGTTTCGGATTGAAGTGATGTTTTAACAGCCTAACCAGCTTGTCACCTGGTTTATCGGGGCTGCCTTGGTTCCTCATTAGGCTACATGTCTGACTGCTGAATGAATTGAGTAGAATGGCTTTCTGGTGACTTGCATCTGTAATCTCATTAGCATCAAAAAAGTGGTGAAGGACCTCACAATATTCCTCCCAATTTTGAGCTTGGCTATCAAAGGGAGCAGTGCCGGCACACATGGCTGCCACCGCCATTATCTCTTGTCACACACCATACGATAATCACGCTTAACAGCAACTCACATGGCCATCTGTACTCCAGTGAGACCTCCGACTTGCAACTTCATAGGGGCAGTTGGGTACAAGCAGAGCACTCTTTATGGTCTCTCAGTTTAACTCGGAACACCTGAACTACATCCTTCACCGGGAATAATCCTTGCTCTCGCGCGCAAGATTTCTATCATGAAATCGTCTTGGTCGTCTCCGCTTAAAACTCTAACTCAACATCTACAAAAGCAACATTGCCACTTAGTGGACAAGATGTAACTGTGGAAATATTGTAAGTTTTAACATGGTCCTTCCCTGATTTGATCCCCATAGTTACAACATCCCATTGTCTGATTTGTCACCTGGTCACCCAACACAGAAGTAGTCAGTATTTATGGTAACATGGTGAATATGGAGGAGCTGTTTTCACTAGTTTTCCCTGTTGCTGACATGGAAATGCTACATCATTCACTACCGTTCAAAGGTTTGCGGTTACTTATAAATTTCCTTGCTTTTGTCCATTAAAATAAATCAGAAATACAGGGTAGACATTGGAAATGTTGCAAATGACTATCATAGCTGGAAATGGCTGTTTTTTAATGGAATATCTACATATGTATACAGAGGCCCATTGTCAGTAACAATTAGTCCTGTGTTCCAGTGGAATGTTGTGTTTGCTAATGTAAGTCTATCATTTTTAAAGGTTAATTGATCATTATAAATCCCTTTTGTAATTATGTTAGCACAGTTGGAAATTGAAATGCTGATTAAAGAAGCAGTAAAACTGTCCTTTGGACTAGTTGAGTATCTGGAGTATCAGCAATTGTGGGTTTGTTTACAAGCTCAAAATGGTCAGAGACAAATAACTTTCTTCTGAAACTCAGTCTATTCTTGTTCTGAGCAACGAAGGCTAGTCCATGTAAGAAATTTCCAGGAAACTGAAGATCACATACAATGCTGTGTACTACTTCCTTCACAGAGCAGCACAAATGGGCTCTAACCACAACAGAAAGAGGAGAGGGAGGCCCTGGTGCACAACTGAGCGAGTCATAGGTCTTCAACTGGTAGCTTCGTTAAATAGTACCTGCAAAAGACCAGTCTCAATATCTTCAGTGAAGAGGCTGGCCCTCTATGCAGAATTGCAAAGAAAAAGCCGTATCTCAGAATGGCCAAGAAAAAGCCGTATCTCAGAATGGCCAAGAAAAAGAAAAGACTGAGATGGGCAAATAAATACAGACATCGGACAGAGGAAGATTGGAAAAAAGTTCTATGGATAGACAAATCTTCAGGTGTTCGGATCACAAAAAACAATGTTTGTGAGAGACAGATCAAATGAAAAGATGGTGGAGGAGTGCTTGACGACAACTATCAAGCATGGTGTAGGCAATGTGATGATCCAGAGCTGCTTTGGTGATGGTGAAGTGGGAGATATGTAGGGATCTAGAAGAAGAAAGGCTGTCACTCCATTTTGCAATAACATGCCATACCCCGTGGATGGCACTTGATTGGAGCCAATTTCATCCTACAACAGCACAATGACCCAAACACAGTTTCAAGCTATGCAAGGACTATTTATGAAAGAAGCAGTCAGCTGGTATTCTGTGTATAATGGAGTGGCCAGCACAGTCACCGGACTTCGACTCTATTGAGCTGTTATGGGAGCAGATTGACCAAATGGTATAAGAAGTGCCCATCAAGCCAATCCAACCTGTGGGAGATGATTCAGGAAACATGGGGTGAAATCTCATCAGATTGCCTAAAGAAAATGAGAAAATCTAAAATTCCCAAGGTATATAAGGCTGTAATTTCTGCAAATGGAGTTTGAAGATCAAACTATTTTAATTTCAATATGATGTCAATGACTATTTTATATTTATAAAGCTATATCTCCTATTTAAGGTAATTTTGTGTATGTTTTCATGGAGAAAAATGGAAGTTTCTAAGTGACTCCAAACTTTTGAACAGTAATGTATATGTTTTTGGCGGGATTGGCACTCCAGTCACCGTAAAACAACTCACAACAGCTCAGAATAAACAGACATGATACCTTCTGCTCTCTGCGGGAGTATCTCTGCTGCAGCTACCCACAGGAAGTGCCCATTTTGTGGATTCTGACCACATACTTGTTGTTGCTACTCTGAAGATTAAGCTTAGATCCAGTAGGGTACCACCTACTAGGAAAATGAGGCTGAACCTGGCTCCAAGATCAAGCTGTTTCTGATGAGCTTGCATGCAGTTTGTGTGGAAAAACTTGCAGACTTGGGTGTGACTGCTGTCTAATGTGATGTGGGAGACCTTCCATGATGAGACCTTGAAGGTTGCCAAAGGTTGTGTTGGTGTTGCCAATGTTCCCAGAAGGAGGTGCTTCGTCGCGCACACAACATGGTGGTAACAGTTTGTACTGGAAACTTAGGAGGACGGCTGTGAGGGTTCAGAGGGCAGATAAAGAGGCGTTTGTTAGATGAATCTGTCAGCAGGTGACACATCATCTGTGGTCTAGTGACCCACATCCTGCTTACAGAGGAATCGAAGCATTACGCAAATTTGAATTTGTTCCTTGGAGACTTGCAGTCAGGCTGGGTGATGGAACGGTCCTTACGGATGACACTGCAGTTGAGACCCACTGGGCCAGCTACTTTGAGCAGTTGTTTAAAGCAGACCCACCAGCAATGGCGTTAGACATCTCTGGTCCACTGTTCTAAAGGCTGATCTTCTAATCAGCTGTGAACCACACAATCTCACTGAGGTTGCACGGGTGGTGAATCAGCTGGGGGTAGGGAAGGCCATAAGAATCTATGGTATCCAGGGTGAACTTCTCCAGGCTGGTGATAAGGCTGTCCTTGCATTGCAGGCAATCTTTGACATCATCCCAACTGACTGGAAAACGGAAATTGTAGTCCCTATCAGAAAGGGAAAGGGTAATTGCCTGGATTGCGGCAACTACAGGAGGATAACACTACTTTCAGTGCCGGGTAAGGTCCTTGCTAGGGTCATTCTTAACAGAATCCGTGATCACTTGCTCACCTGTCAGCAACTGGAGCAGTCTGGTTTTACGCCTACAAGTCTATCATCAACCGTATCCTGACACTGAGGATTCTCATTGAATGGTAGTGCAAATATCGGCATAGGTTCTTTGCAGCCTTTGTTGATTTTCATAAAGCATTTGCCTCAGTTGATCAAATTGCCCTGTGAGACATCCTGAGACTTCGCGGGATCCTCTCGAAGCTGCAGGACATCATGGCCAGCCTGTACACTGGTACTGTGAGTGCTGTGCAAAGTGGAGGGAGAACCTCCACGTTCTTCCCAGTTGATTCTGGGGTTCTCCAGGGGTGTGTTCTTGCTCTTACTCTGTTCAACACTTGTATGGACTGGGTGTTGGGCAGGGTCGTGGAGTCCGGCAGCTGTGCGGCATCCATTGGTGCAGAAAGATTTACTGATCTTGACTTTACTAACGATGTGGTGATCTTCACAGAGTACATGCAGACTGGGGATCTTAGCGAGACTTAAGCTGCCTGTGCTATAATATCTGTACCAAATTGAAAGTAAGAAAAGGCCTGATCTTAATCTAGCTGACTAGCGATGCAAGAACTAGATGTGCATAACATGCGATGTTGGTATTAATATTGCATGTCATCCAGTCCTACTCTAGCCATTTTTCAGATTCAGTGCAAAATACCCCAATTCGCACTGTGATGTCACTTGGCACCGGTACCAGTTTTTATGCCAGTGGAAAACCAGCAACTTGAAGTACTGTACCTTTAGTACATTCTTGAAGTACCAAAAGTATGGTACCTAGTGTGGTGGAAAAGAACGCCCTTTAGTTGAGTGGTGAATTGGACAGCTTTACAGCACTTTACACAGCTCTGCTATGCCCCCTGTTTCTTCTGTGTACTGGCTTCTTCTGTTAATTAAGCAGTAGCCTGCTTTGAGAGGGTTTTTGTGGTTTTTTGGCCTCCCTAGAGCAACTTCGCTTTAGTTTAAGCTAAACGTGGTTCAGCAGGAAGTTAATCTCGGGTAAGTAATTGTAAATTTGGTTATTTTAAAAGTTAAATTTAAAGGTTGCTGACGCTGCCGGATAATTTATAATAAAGTACCGATTTAACGCAAGTGTTAATTTAGTGTTTTAGTGTACTCGGCACTTTGTTTTAACTATACGTTAATTAGATCAACTAAAAGTTTAATACTCTATATTAATATACTGGGCTGGGAGTAAAGGACGGGGACATAGTGAGTTAGGTAATTATGGGGCCAGCTCAGTGTTGTGTTTGC